AGAACAGGCAGATCGACGAAGTACACTGCTGAGGGGAGCAGCGGGCGGGTCAGGAGAGGTCTGCCACGCCATGTCGTCACCTCCGGGGCAGGCGGGAATCGAACTCATGCGGAAGCGGCTTTAGATTCTCAGTGCTGTGCTTTAACCCGCTGCACACCAGGGAGGGCCAGTATGAGAGAATTTTAACAGATTAATATACATTGAGGGGGAAGAAGAGAAAGGGTATAGTTTCCCAATGAAATACCCAAAGTTCTCCATCCCCTGTGGGTAAATGCCTTGCCAAACAAAGTTAACCCAAAGTAGAAGCACTGAAAACTTACCACAAGTCTAAGATACCTTCTGGCAGGGAACCTTAGAAAAGGGACAGAAAGGGCCAGACAAGTCTGAGACTAAAGGAGCAAAAATCAAAGTACACGTCAGTGTAACAGCTGCCACTGTCAGCCTCTGAGATTGGTCTCTCACCATGTCTTTTCCAACTTCTCTGCATGTCTTGGTTCCATGCATCTCCCCCTATGCCCCTGGTTTAGGTCCAAACCTGAGATGCAAGTGTAATCTCCTTCACATGTCCCTCCTTACATGCCTCTTCCAAGTGTTCTGTCCAAGACTTGTCTCTGAGTCCTCTCTGATTTCTCCTGGCCCTTAAACTTCACCCTTCATTATAATGGTGCGGTAGGGGACATGGGACTTCCCTTGTTATGATCCTTTCTGTTAACAATTTGACAGCTAAAAACATTTGTAAATTGTCATTTGACAGCTGAACAACCATTCATGTGTAACTATCATAATTCACTTTCCATGTTTGTTTAAATGCTTGTCAAAGAGCTACAGTCATGTTTGTTTACTCTTTTGGGGATTTTGTGATGACTCTCCCAAAAGGGAAACCTGTTTTGCTATGCAGTTTTTTTTTTTTTGTTTTATAAAATGGCAAGTTGTGGTATCTGTTTTCTTTTATTCTCTTTGGGTCATCAATAGAACATTTTTTTGTGTGTGGTAGTTTTCCAATATAGCTAGATTTGTATTTGAAGTAGTGAAAATATTTTTCAATAATTTTTTCCAGCCTGTAGGTTAGGGAGCCCTGGTCAGCCATTATGTTGAGATAGATTTTCTTTGCTATCAGTAATGTAAACTTTTTTTGTGGCATGTAGGAGGAATTGTAGTTTTTCTGACATTCATTTTTTCTTGGAGGAGGGAATTCCCAGAGAAAGCCTAATACTAATACATGTTTTTGTATTATAAGGTGTTTTGATAAAAAATTTTTTTTTAGTCAAACTGTTTTGAAGGAGTAAGATGGATTTGTAAATAAAAAAATTAACCAGGAAAAAGTAGTTTCATGGATATTACTTACTATGAAAAGCATATTGACAGGCATTTTAAAATTGTTGTTAGTACTGTCATTATTTCTTATTTTGCATTGGTTTTCTCATTGCAGTGAAAATAACTTTTCTCCCAAGTTTAATGAAAATGACGGACCTGTTGAAAGAAGGAGCAAGAAAGGCCAGTATGAGGTTGAAAATGGAGTACCTAGGTAGGTACTGGTTATGGAGTATTTTACAATGATGGGTCTTCAAAAGGTAAAAAATATAATTGACATTTTTTGAGTGCTTATATGTGCCAGACACTGTAAAAGAATTTATATGTGGAGAATTAAATTGTCACTGTAACTTGTTGGGTGGATATTTTTAGTTCCATTTGCAAACAAAGAGAGTGAATGTAAGCAATTTGCATATTTTGACTAAGTTTACTGCAGTACTATTTACAATGGTTAAGCTGTGGAAACAAAGAGTTCACAGCACATGAGTAGATCAGGAAGATGTGGTATATATTCACAGTGGAATATGGCCAAGTAATCAAAACAGATGAACTCTAGCCATTGCAGCAACATGAATGTAGAGGGGAGGGAGTATGCTAATTGGAATCAGAGGGAGAAAGATAAATACCACTTAAATATATGCAATACAGAGAAACCAAACAAGGGTCAGACAAAGACAAATTTTAAAACTAGCCATTGGAAACAGACCATGGAATTGAGACATCCAGAGGGGAAGGAAGGGTAGAGGGTTAAGAAAAGTGTAGGGATGCATGGACTGTGGTGGAGGACTGTGGGTGCTTTGGTGGTAGGTGTGTTATGGTGATTAACCTGGATAGGAAGATTCTATACTTCAAATAATACTAACGACAATGTAAACCAACAACACTATAATTAAAAAATTGTGAAATAATAAAAGACAACTTCAAAATATCCCATTTAGCTTTAGAAGTTATTGTAAATGTTAGGAAGAAATATAAGAATTAGCCTTCTCCAAATAAAACAAAAGAAGGATCATAGGTTTGTAATTATAATTTT